CCGCCCCTGTCACCCCGACGGGCGACCACGCCCCTCCCAGGCTGCTCCCGCTCGCTGCGCACCCACAGTCCGCTGCCGAGGTCTCCCGCAACCTCCCTGCCGAGGATCCAGGAAAGAGAGCTCGCTGCCCTAATCCGGGGCACAGGGGGGAGACTCGGTGTCGCCCCTTCTCCTCACCACGCAGGGGGAGCTGGACGGTTGCCGGGTGAAAGAGGAGACAGCGGAGCACCGTCTCGGAGGTGTTGGGCTCCGGCGACCCGGCTCGCCTAGACCCACTCGAGGTCTACCCCCACCCCCGGCCCCAGGCTGAAACAAGCGGCGGGCGTTCCGACTCCCCGCCCCCGGCCGGCCCCGCCCAGGATGGCCAGTTCCCATAGCAATCGCACAGACACCGGTTGCCAAGCAACCCCTCCCTCTCCTCCCTCCCCTCCTAGCCCGTCCGCTCCCCCCACCCCAGCCTTCTCCCACCCCCTAGCCAGCCTCCACCTCCCCGGGGGCGCCGGCGCGGCCCCTCGGGATTGCTCTGGTCCTGGCTGCGCGCGCGTGTGTGAGTTTCCGTGTGTTTCATTGTGTCCGTTGCGAGGGGGTGTGCGTGTGCGAGTGGAGAGTTTGTGGGATGGGTGTGTTGGGGGCCCACCGGCCAGGAGGGACCCCGAGCTGTTGCACAGCTGGCGGCGAAGGGACCCGCCCGCCGCTGCCGCTCCTTTGTGTCTCGCGCGGAGCCGGCGCCGCGCCCACCCCTCCGCGGCCCGCGCCCCGGGCGGTGTTTGTGTGCGTGCGTGTGGGTGTTGGGGGGTCCGGGCTGGCCGTACCTTCGATGCAGCACACCCGCCACAGCCCCGAGTGGGTGAGGTCGCCGCGGGCGCGGCGGGGCGGGGGCCCGTCGTCCATGGTCAGGTTGGTGCCGTTGCAGATGTGCGCGCTGGAGTAGAGCCAGTAGTCCGTGCCGATGGCGATGGCCATGAGCGAGAAGGCGGCGAAGGCTCCGGCCGTGGTCAGCAGCATCTGCAGCCCGCGGTCGCATCGCACCATGG